GGCACCACATATCGTGGGTCTGGGTGCTTAGAATCTGGCCTGCGTGTCACAGCACCATCACGACTTGTCTAAGACACTCACATGAGCACAGACCATAAGCGCACCATAAAGCTGTAGTCTAGATAGCTTCCTCTTCCCTCCTCCTTAAGGCACAACTACGTTACTACTAGTACCTTAGATTCGCCCCGTGATACTGCGATGTAACGGGTTGTTGATGAGTTCAATTCGGAGAAGGCTCTGTGCTTAAGTTGGGATTCAGTTTGGTTTCGTGGTTTGCGGTCGGGATTATCAATTAAGATATGCAATTCCCGCCGATGCGCTCTCTATTGATGTACGCTGGGCTCTGAATATAGGCTTTGAATGCACTCCGAACATCATTTGGAAATGGATTTATCAAAGCAATTGTTGGGTCCATTTTGGCCTTGGTGGCATAGTATGCAGGAATTCAAGGAAGTAGGGAAGTAGATAGTCAGTCTGTTAGGAAATTAATCTAGGCACACGCCGCTACTTCGTATTCGTGACTGGACCGGGCCAGTCGCGGATGTCGATATTCGTGGTTGGCCCGGGCCCTTCGCGAATGGACCGGGCGATTCGCGAATTGAGTATATCCGTGACTGGCCCGGAACAGATACATCAATGATGCTTTTGATGATCAACACGACGGGGATTACTTCAACAGGTCGCTGATGTTGCCCAGCTTGCTCGACAGGCAGTTAACATAGCCAGCAGTCAAGTTTCTCCGTTTATCAACTCTTGTCCGGATGACGCCAAGAGTCACCTTCACATCACGAACCAGACACGGCTTCAAGATAAAGCGCTATATTTTATAAAGAGCTTGAAAACCGGACCTGGTTCGCATTTCAAGTCCTCCCGCCTGGCTGCTCACAACTGCAAGTGATGGTTTTGAAAAGACAGAAAAATCACCAAGGAGCTGTGCCCGGTGCACCGCTTAAGGTTAAAGGATGGCCGACAAGAACGGCAAGTTTTCCGCCATGTCTGGCTGGTGTATATTATCCATTCGACAAGGTCAACCAATCAGGCAGAACTCGCCGTGTCGATATCTACAGCTGCATGCAAAATCCGACGTCGTTCTACACTAAGAAGCGAGTTATATATTATCACGTTGATAGCTATGGAAATGATTGAACAGTGGATTGATCCTTGGATTGAAGCTATCTAGGTACGGAAAACAAGCCCTACTTATAGATATCAAAGTCATCTAACAGGCTACCAAGAAAGTCATCAATTTGAGGGGTTTTGAGGTATCTAGCTATTGAAGGTCCGGCTTCAATAGGTCCGTGGCGTGAGCATTTTGAGGCTTTTCAGTGGCTTCATTCGCACAATCGTAAGAAGGCTTTTCAGGGCTTTTCGGCGATGCCGATGAATAGCAGCCTTTTTCCATTGAAAGGGGCCTTTGGCGTTGACATATATCAAGCGCTAACGTCCGGGAGGATTCTAGCCGGATAGATTTCCCACGTGTATTGCAAAATCATGTTAATTTAAAAGCTACCCTACTATAAAAGGGCAGGCTTGATTGGAGACGTATATCCACAGCAATAAAATTCAAAACTTATTAGACATACTGTCAGGGGAGCCGTCGGCGTGCGAATACACCTCGGCGCATGTGCAGTTGTCCATGTGCACATCGATCACAGGCATAAGCTTGCGTCAGAAGTTTATCCCAAGATTTCTTAACTTAAGGCTAGACGAAATCAAGTTGGCACCCATCAAGAGATTGGAGTGGCCAGGCCAGGGTATAATTGCAGAATGGGATTATCCACAGGAAAGACGTCGAGAACGAGACTGTCATCAAACCGACTTGCTAGATAGGGAGGGCTACTAATAACCATGCAACTATGTACATCACCAAAGGGTAACAAGACTTTAGTTTGAGAAGAATAAGGCGGAAAAAAAAGACTAGTGATCAGATATATATATGCACCCCACACTATGATTGCCATCACCCCATGACAGGCACCTTGGCTAGATGAGAAAGATGTAATAGTGGCGCAAAATCGCTCATACTTTTCTATAATCAAGCAGCTTTGTGCTTGATCAACTCAGCATTAAGCTCAGCGACGGCATATAGGGTGCTAGTCAAGTGACCGCAGACTTGATAAGGAAGAACGGAGGCATCAGCCACACGGACGTTGGAGGTGCCATACACCTTGAACTTGTTATCAACAAGTTCACGGTCCCTACTGGGACTATGAGTTTCTGAGTTCACCCCCTTCAAATGTTTGCTTTGGTGGGTGCATGGTGTCGTATTTCGCGGCTGTTACATTCTATATTCAATGTCTACGCGAGTGTGTCCCCTGATTTCAACTGTCAAGAGACTCCTTCAGACACACAGCCTGTCGATGATTTTGGTTGCAGACCTTTAATTCTATTCTCAACAGGTCTGTCACCAGTAGGACTCCAGCAGCAGCCTACGTATGCCTGAATAGCGCTGAAGGAGTTGCAAGGGCCCTGTGTCACACAGCACGGTTGTATGGGACAGCTTGGACAAAACGAGAGACTCTTGGTTTCCTACATAGCGGAATAATACGAAACTAAATACTTGTTGTAATACTGCTGCCTGCCAGGCAGCAGTATAGCAATGGCTGTTGCCTTGAATGAGCGACTTGATCTTGACACCCTGTTAATTGTCAAAGGCTCGGGGTCAAGGTTCGCCATTCGATCAGCAGGCCACAATGCAAAGCATGGATTCAGCAGCGTTAGCACCGAGGAGCTGGGTATCGTGCTGGACTTGCGTGGACCAGAATCTAAATCTCTGGACCGCAAAACTAGCATCGCTCGTATGGGAGCATGCAACAACTGGTCCGAGGCGTTCACCTGGCTCGAAGGCCAGAATTTGTCAGTGATAGGCTCTCGAGAAGGCCGAGTTGGACTCTCCGTGTTTCTCCTTGGCGGGAGGGTTGACTTTGTTCCATTGATACGCGACAGTTTGTTGACTACAGCTAACCTTATCCAGGTGGCCAGGGAATCTTCTCCAGCTCCTTTGAGCAGATGGCGTCAAGAACTTTGAGGTAAGTGGTACAGCCAGACCCTGATGTTCTCAACTTTGGCAGTAATCTTTGGAGCCACTAGGTCGCCCTTGCGAATGGCACTATTCTCAATGCAAACGCAGAGGAAAACTCGGATCTATATCTTGCGCTCAAGGGCGGCGGTTCCAACTTTGTTTTGACGCCCGCTTCCTTTACGCGGTAGACAATCTGACCGATCGCAGGTATTGTCACGGCGGTAGGCCTCCAAGCGCATCCTCTCATCAAGGTTCAGTACACCATAAACATGTACGACCCTTCTGATTCCAAGAACTTGTTGGATGCATTCGCCATGGTCCAGGAGTCAATGGAACAGGATCCCAAGATGGGCATGTTTATTAATGTCCGACGAGACTTCATCGCCATTGGCATGTTCTACGCCGACTGGGTAGTCGAGCTTCCAGCCGCCTTTGATCCTATCGTCAAACTGGGCAGTTTGGTTGGCGCGGCTGTGCCTACGTCCAACGGCACCTTCTCTGCCCTGAATGAGATCTTGGAGGAATGGGCTTACAAGATGCAGGACTTGAAGTAGGTCGAAAACATCCGTCTTGACCATGTTTCACAGTGCTTTGTGTATTTACGCTAAAGCAGGCATGCTTATCTCACTACGATGACCAAAGTCTCACACGAACTATTACACCAAGGTTATCAAATCTGGAAGGATATTGTTGACCAGCTTCCCCGTGCCGTCAATGTGCATTGGTCTACCCAACCCCTGACTCAAGCGGCCGTAATGGCTGGGAGGAATAGCGGCGGCAACATTTTAGGACTGGAAAAAGTGCCGCAATCCTGTGAGCTCGTCAATTCTTCGTAGCACCAATAGTGAGATGTGTCGAACTAATGCCGCTCTTCTAGACTGGATTTTTGCTTGTGACCTGAAGCAGGACCAAGACGATGAGGCCATGTGGAACGCTTTAGACGCAGCTCTGCAGCGATCCAAGAAGCTGGCCGTCGATCGTGAGCTTCTTTTGGATCCTTTGCTTCCCACGTTTGCTGGCGCGTCGCAGAATGTGCTCGCCGGCTTTGGCGCAGAGAATGTCAAGAAGTTGCAGGATGCAGCGCGCCGTTATGATCCCGAAGGAGTGTTTCAAAAACTGCAGAATGGGGGGTTCTTGTTGCGAATATATGACAAACTCTGTTTATGCCACTCTCCTGATGTTGTTAGGCTATCTTGCTTGGATGTATTTAGCTCATCTAATCCATAGAGATTACCTGATTTTACTACAGCAAAGAAGATCAAATATGGAGAACTGCTCGTTGAGATAGCACAGTGTGGCACATGATTGTTATAAGCGCAAAAGCGTTCCTTGTGACAAGGGCCTGTGAATAGGGGCTTGGAACAAGGTTCAATTCAAGCTAATAACAGACTTTGGATATTAACGATCCATAGTTTGAAAAGGAGCCTTTGCACCAGAGATGTCGTATTTATATAAAAGGCGGTGTGCTGCATGATGTCCTGAGGCCTGCGGCCTTCACCTAGTCTCGTGACCTTTGTGTAACTATCATGGGTTTCCTTCAGCTTCCACCAGTTGGCCGTGTAACATTCCTGATCAACTTGGCGTCACTTTCCAACTATTTGACAATATTCCAGATGCCATCCAGCGCTGCAACTATATCTTCCGGCAGTGGGCCTTTCTTAATTGCTGCCACGTTCAGCTTGACTTGAGAGAGCTTGCTTGAGCCGAAAATGATGCCATCTCGAGGCTCCAATTTGGAATGGAAGGCGAGCCAGCGCAGCGCCACCTCTGTCTTTGGGATACCGTGCGGATCTAGCATCCTGTCTAGCGAGCGGATAGCCTCGTGATACTTGTCCTTGTCATAGCGTCGAGCGTCCGTCGACATGATATTACCGTCAGCGAAGCGCGTTCCCTGGGTTTGGCCCGATGTGAGTGCACCGTGTAGGAAGCCGCTGGCATGCGGGCTGTGTGCCACAAACTGCATGCCATGCTTGCGGACGATATCGAGCACCGGCCCTTCGTGTCGGCGGTCGATGAGATTATACAAGCCTTGGTACACGGTCGGCTTCACGTAGCCCTCACGGTCACAGATGTTGATGAAGTCGGCAAGCATGTCGGCCGAGAAGTTACAAACTCCTAGCTGCAACGAGAATGAGCCACCAGGCTGATTTTGTTGTCCCCTTTTGCTCTTCCAGGATTTCAAATGCTTACCTTGTCAAACATACCCGCTCTATACTGCGCATCAAAGCCAGCGGCCTGGTCTTTCAAGGGCGTGGCCACATCCGCCGCATGAGGGTAGAAGACATGGATGTGTTGGCCGTCCGCTAGCCGAAGCGCCTCACGACTCTCTGCAGCAGACTTGACGATTTTTTCAGGTTCCAAAGTGCCCTCGAAGCCAGTCATGCTAATCATTACTTTGCTGTCGATAGCGAATCCTAGTTGTGCTGCTCCGACTTGTCCAAGGAGACGCTGCGAAGCGCCAATGTCTGTAGGTGGATATAATGCAGCTGTGTCCAGCCGGTTTACACCCGCCTCCTTCAGCGTTTGAAGGAGCCCTTTCACGGCTTCCTCACCGACAAATTCATTGCCGAGGCCGCCGCAGCCGAATATCATCTCTGGGGGTCCGGAAAACGCCATGGTTGTCACGGTCCTGGTGTGCTGATGCGGTGAAGCGAAGGTATGAGGTGTTAGCGCTAGCGTTCGGATTTTAGCTGAGCGAAAAAGAACCAGATGGGCCAAGTTGAGGTCAGTGAGGTGGGTGAGCTGTGAAAATCCGTTGTCTAGATATGAGGGGCAGCGCCATAATTACCTCAGCAGGCTCCTGCCCTCGTTGAATTAGGTTTGCTGCATGTACATCCCGGATGAATTCTTTCCCAATAGACACACGAGCTTGTCAATGGCTGCATCAGTGATATCCATGGTGGTGGCGGAGAAATTGGAGGCAGAATTAGTAATGTCTAACCCGATTGCTGCCCCAGTGTCTTGATGCTAGCAGGGATACTCGGTCTGCACCCTCTTTGAGGATGCAGGCCAAGACCAGACGAAACCATAAACAGTGGGGCCGTGGCATGTCCTCATAACACCTCTCTGATGACGATGGCCGTGTCGTTTGTATTGTCCTACAAGCGGTATGTAGCATGCTTGTATTTCTATTTATGCCATGGCACAATGTTCTGTAGCAGGGTCGCTCCCGCGCGGTCTTTGGTGACGTAGGTCAGATCTAGAAGCCTGCTAAGTCGGGCATTGGTGTCGCGTTTATTAGCTATAGTCATTGAGTGATGTTGTCCTACACTGTTGCCAAATCTTGTATATTCATCCATGACTGTGCTCCCTTGATGACCTGTCCTCCCCTACCTCCTTTCACCGAGAAAAAACTCCAGATCTTTAATACCTTTGGAATACTGCTGCCTTGAGGCAGCAGTATCACAACTGCTTTTTGCCACCCAGGTGGCAGAACGGTTGCGTGTTCAATCAACAGAGGCAACATTGACTGACCGCGTAACCAGCTTCAGCCTAGATTTGTGAGGCCCTGCTGGCCTCGGCCTCTAATTTGTTATTATTTGTCAGTATAGCGGTTCTCAGCAACCCCTGCCGTCCTCGACCATACGATGTAGCCACGCCTACCATGAACCCCCATGGTAGGAATTTTTAAGCAAGCTCGGCCATGCTGGCCTTCGCTCATAGATTCGCCTGGCCCCGGATCTGCTAGGCATTAGTCTTCCACTTAATATCCCACGTCGACATGGTTCCAACTCCACGGCAGGCAACGGAGCTGTTCAATTCTTTCTACCAATTTCATCGTATTAGTAAAACTGCTTCTTCTCGCTCCGGCCGGTACCAACATTGCTCAACAAAAGAGGTTCCGGACAAAAGCCAGCCAATCAATAACTACTTCGGCCCTTTCTATTTAGGGTAAGTTTGACAAGCGCAATATGAGGCGGAGTGCGGGTTTGACTTGCAGCATCGTTCACCCCGATTATTAGTTCTGCCTTGGTGGATCATCCCTGTCTGTCCATTATTACACACCCTCGCGTTCGGCGTCTACCTCTAGCTCAGCTTTCCGCTGCCTGGCCACGCAAGGAAGGATTCCGAAGCGATCTTCGCGGTTTTACCCAGTGGAGACGAGACTTACTAGCGTGAAGTGACTGGCGCTAAGCCTCTAGGGCGTCTAGGAGCCTTCTTCTGGTACGCATCCGTCTTTCAACGCGCTTACACTACTTGCACCCTGAAAACGTCGGGGTGTAGGTAACCAGCGGTGGCTGGCAGATGGAATTGGTGGGCCAGTTGTGATAAAATATTGAGAGCGGGCGCATCTGGTCTTGATCGTAATCTGCCCAATAATAACCCTGCATTGGGGAAATGATCTTTTGCAGGGGTGAGAAGGGGATACCTACGCTAGAAACGATCGAGAAAGAGACAAAGTTTAGTATCCAAACACACAATCCTACTAGTCCATCACCGAGACCGTGCGGGTGTTCATTTTCCACGCCGGGCTTTACCGTCTTACTGTTGCGCTAAAAAGTGCAAAAGTGTAGGCCTACTGAAATCTTTGCAGCAGCTTTAATGAATGGCCTATATTCTATGCGACACTTACACCCCACGCCCAACCGATTCGTGACGTCGCAGCTGATGCGTCCCGACTTTACAATATAATTCCGTTTTTAAATAAATTTTTTTTTTTTTTTTTTTTTTTTTTTTTTTTTTTTGCTTAGCGACCCACGATGGAAAGAAGCATTTTGTGTTTACGAGGAAGGGGAGCGCTATTGAGCGCACCCTCAGGTTTAGCCCTCCGCCAAGGTCCGGATCGTTAGGGCCGTTCCGGTTATAGAGGTCGAAACCACCGCGGCGACTAACGAATTTTCCGTAGCCGAACGGCCCATGTGCCCCTCTTGGCGCGACTGGTTGACTAAAGGGACTGCTCCATATGCAACGTGCTGTTCAATGTCCGTTGTGAAATGCCCTTCCCGGCCACTTTTAGTTGAAGTT